TTGTCCTTAAGACGAAATTTCCCCGCAACGGTGCTAACGGATTAAATGGAAATCGTCTCCCAAGATACAACGGCAAGGCTTGGAATAGGAGCACTCCAAATCCCAAGTACGACGAACTGTACTTTGTGTAGAACTTTTCGAGAGAATCTGTGAAGGGTAGGCTTAATATGCAGTAGGCTTATTTTTGGATTGAAGTGAGGAATTGTGGGAAAGTTAGGGTCTATTTATAAGGTTCGAAAAGTAGTGTCCTTTTGGAGTAAAAAGGTACCTTTTGTTTGAATGGTTGCACCATTTCGAATTGAGCCAATTGGGAGTAGTTGCACCATTTCGAGTTGAGCCGAATGGTTTGCATTGGTTCGGCCGCACCAATTCAGACCAGTCAGACCAATCGAGATGGGCTTCGAGTAATAAGGGCCCAATGGGTTAAAAGCCCATGACCCAATGTTTTTTATATATATACAGCTCAGTACTTCTCTACTTTTCCAATGTGGGATAACTCAAAATCCCACTTTCCTTATGTTTTGGACTAGTAATTTTTTCATTCACCACAAAATTGGTTCTAATCCAAAATTCATTTATATACTCAATTAGACCGTACAATAACATTGATAAAAAATTGTTCATGACTCAATTTTTAACCAATTTTCCCAACAAGTTGTTGGGTTCGGGTTTGGGGTAGGGGTGAAGGGAGGGAGTGGGTGGTGTATCGGTTTAACAGGGAAGATGAAGCAATTGTACATTATCCTCTCTTTTTTTATTTTGGTATTTTGTTTTCGAGGGATTCATTTTTTTAATTTTTGGGCTGAATATTTTTTTTTTGTTTTATTTTGAATTCAGGGTAATTTTGACATTTCATCTAAGTCAACAGGAAAAAACGAAAAAAGGGGCAGTGTGCTTTGTAAAATACAACATAGGGGGTTCTTGCAAATTTTTTTGAACACAAGGGGTTTTTCAACAATTCAAGATCACACAGGGGTTTATGTGCAATTAACTCTTAATAATAATTACCGGGAGTTAGGCATAGCCATAGTAAGAATACAAAAAAGATAGTGTACTTGATTATATAAAAAAAATTAAAGTTGACAATTTATAATTCAAAGAGTCAAGATATTTAATTATTGTACGTATTAACAAGTTATAGATGAGAAGAATGTTGTAAACGAAACAAATTGTTGGTGCCTGGTGGGTTTATTTCACACGGTATATTATTTGATTATTTCTAGGGGTTTTTGTGATAAAGTCCCCAACCAAGCATATTTATTATTCTAGGTTTAGGGGTTATATCTCTTTCACCAATTAGCCCATCCCTTTAATATTTATTATAAATAAAGGAAACATTCATGTATATCCCAATATTACCCTCAACCATTTATACCCAATTTTTAATATGCTCCAATTTCATCCTTAACTTTATTTAACCTCAATTTGATCCCAAATTTCACAAATTATTCAATTTTGACCCCAATTTTTTTATTCCAATTTTTTTCCGACCGGATTCCGGCATTGACCGGCGGTCAACGCCGGACTCCGGTGTTGACTTTTCAAAAAAAAAAATCTTTTCTTTTTTCTTCTCTTTTCATCCGGATTTTTTCGCCGTTTTCCGGCGTTGACCGGCGGTCTCCGGCGTTGACTTTTTTTAGAGTTTTTTAAGTTTTTTTTTTTTGTTTGTTTGTTTGTTTTTTTTTAACGTCCGTCGCTAAACATTGACCGTAATTGTGCTGTCACTGACAGTAAATTAACGTAATTATACTGTCAATGATAGTTAATTAACGTAATTATACTGCCGTTGACAATACATTTATGTAATTGTTCTGTCGTTGACAGTAAATTAACGTAATATTATTATTTTTTATTTTTTTTATTATTTTTTTTTTGATTTGTTGACAAGTCAACGTAATTATATTACTGTCATTGACAGTAAAATAACTGTAAACACAATAATATTACTGTCAACAACATCAATATTATTATTTTTTTGGGGTTTTTGCTTTGTTTGAATTATTCACGGAGTAACGTAATAATATTACTTTCTATTATTGTAATATTACTGTAAACACAATAATATTACTGTGGTTGACGGTAATATTACTGTTGTTATAGTAATATTGCTGTCAACCACATCAATATTATTATTTTGTTTGTTTGAGTTATTCACGGAGTAACGTAATAATATTACTGTGGTTGACGGTAATATTACTGTTGTTATAGTAATATTAATTCTTTTGGCTTTTTATCATGTTTACATTTGTTGAACGGTCAACATAGGAATATTACTCTATTACACAATAATAATGAGTTTTGTTGTGTTAATATTACTGTGCTAGAGATTAATGTCGCAATATTACTGTGTTAAACTGTAGTTTAGTTAATTTTACTGTGTTTAACAGTAAGATAGTTAATATTACTGTCAATCACAACAATATTGTTGTGTAAACGAAAAAAAAAGTTACAGAAAGAAAGAAAAGAAGAGAAAAAAATAAACCAAAAAAAAAAATCGAAAAAATCAACGCCGGAAACCGGCGAAAAAATCCGGAAGAAGAAAAAAAAAAAAAAAAGTCAACGCCGGAATCCGGCGGGAAAAGAAATTTTTTTGAAAAAATAATTTTTTTTGAAAAAATAAAAGTTTTGGGTCAAAATTGAATAATTTGTGAAATTTGGGGTCAAATTGAAGTTAAATAAAGTTAAGGATGAAATTGAAGCATATTAAAGTATGAGGGGTTATTTTAGTCCTTTACAAAAATCTGGACCATGTGTGGACTTATTGGTAAATGAGTTTTTTGTCTTGATCTCTTTATAAATAAGTACCCATTGATGGGCTTATTTGTAAAGACCCCATATTTCTAATTCTACTGAACTATTATTGTCATTGTTATTTTATTATTTTTTGAAAAGATTGCTATTTTTATTATTTATTTCATATAAAAAAGACATCCATATTAGATGAGTGGTAGTTTACCAAATTTTGGATCAACTCATTTGAGAATCTGGAATTCAAATTTTTTTTCCGCATTGAATAAACCTACACTTTCGTATAATAGTTTGCAAATTTTACAATAGACGAGAGTCGTAAGTCATACTATGCTAACCATACGAGAAACGTAAACTACGTTAGACTAACCATGCGTAACAAACTCGAGATAATGAGCGCTGGCAAGTCGATTCGAAGCTGAATCAATTGAGTCAAGTGCTTCAATCGCTAGATCATTCACACCATGACGGACACGCTGACTAAAAAAAAAAAAGAATGTATTACTTAATTTTGAACAATTTATAAAATTCCAATTATATTAAGAACTTTAATTAGGACCCAGTTAACAACCAATTTTAGTTTGCCATTATTTGATTTGATGTCACCATCTTTATCTTACAATCACATTATCATTCATTTTTTATTTAAAAAAATAAATTAATATTTTGGCGTGATTAAATTATTACTACTACTATTATTATTATTGTTTTTTTTCTCTATATTTGTTGGGCCATATAATATATGACCAGATTCTAGAGTTAGCTCATTATGTGTACATTTAATCTCAGCCCATATTCAATGTCCAAAGATTAGGAATTGTCCAATATAATTTAAAATCATGTTAAATACTAAATATTTTTTTCTATAAGATTTGAGTATTGAAAGAATTGCGTTACATTTGCTTCTATTTTTTATTGCTTAGAAGTGTGTGTGTGTGTGTGTTTTCTTGAAAACAGAAAGTATAGCAAAATTATTATGTTTTCCCCTCTTTTTTGAACATTTAGAAATATAATATTTTTAAATTATATATATATATAATGACTATAATGACCATTTTTCGATTCGATTTATTTTTATTTTATAATAATATTTTTTATATTTAAATTTCTGAAATTTTAATTTTTGATTTTCTAAATTATATATGAGACTCTAATTATCGAACCAATTTTAAATATTGAAAATATTCCTGCAATTTATGATTTTTGTTTAACAAAAGCTACCTTTGTAATATCTCAATATACTATCATTATGTATTTTATATTATAGCAAAGTACATAATACAATTTCTGAATTCCACCGATTACGATCCATATTTAACTTTTTCGATACAACTTCTTTTGTATCGATTTCCAAAATTTTAATTTTTAAATTTTTGGTGAAAAATCAATTGATGGAAAATTGTCCTCGTAATCATCGAGCATGAGTGGTGGTAATGAAGTCAAAAGTTAGGACAAAAACGTGTTCAATATTTCAGCGCTTACCAACAAAACCAACATTCATATTCTGAATCAGGACCACTATTTATATTTTCTTTTATATATTTTATTATTATTATTATATTACTTTTTGGCCTTTTATTATTTATTTATATAATAATGTAATTATTAATCCATAATTAGGTTTGGTATTCTTTTTTAGTTATTTTCTATTCGAGGTTGTTCATTAAAAAATTATCTAAGCTCCATTTCTTATAGGAACGTATATTTTCGTTCCATACTGGATCTCGAGCTCGATTACAAAAAAATAAAAATAAAAATAAATAATAGTATGTATAAAAAGTCAAACTACTCGAGCTCAATTTATTTCCGATTCGATTAAAGCTCGTTTGACCTGATTCAATTAAGTTCAACCAAAACCTTAAAATTCCGATAAAATTCAAATAAGTTTTAACATTTACGCGTTTCGGCTCACGTGATTCATTTACATTGATGATATGAAAGATAAAAATGGGAAATTATAAGCTACTTTCAAATTTTTACTACAACTATAAGTGGAAGAAATTTTATTAAAAGATAAATCAATTATATGAGTAAAAATATTAAATATTACTTATTACCAGTATCTAGTTAAAAATTAAAATATGGAAATAAGATTAATTTAAAGATTCATTAGAAAGACCAATTTCTTTGACTTTTTTTGTACTTACCCCTCTCCTAGTAAATAAATTACTTTTGTCTATATTTAAATTTAATCTCTCCAAAATTTTGATAATCAATTCTCTCTCTCTCTCTCTCTCTATCTTCTCTCTCTAACTCTCTCTAACTCTCCTTCTCTCTCTTCTCTCTCTCACACACACACACACTAAAAAGGCATAAGAGATCTGGGGGTCCTTTTCTCTCTCATAACAGTCCCATCAAATTCTCCGCTAAGTGTTATTTGCCATTGCAGGTAATTTTCCGCCATTTTTGCTTCTCTTCATTTAAACCCTCCCTCAATTCACCATCTCCTTTCTCCAGTTTTCTCATTTCTCTGAATATACTATTGCCAGATCTACGTATCTCGATCCTCTTTAGGTACAATTGGATTTTGATCGACGGAGATTGAGTTTGGTTTTTTTTTTTTTAAATAGAGATTTTGTTTTTTTGTGTTGTAATTTGCTTAATCTGCGTTCAATTGATTTTGCCAATTGTTTTCTCTCGCTCAAATTCAATTATGCGTGCGCGATGTATAGCCCCCTGCATGTGTGTTGTTTTGATTCTGTAACGGATTTATTAATTTTAGTAATTTTGTGCGCGTTGGTTGTGATGATTTTGCTGTTAAAGGTTTAAGCTTTGATCTCATGATTTTATTGAAGATTGATAACTGAGAAAAAAAATTAGTTTTATCTGTTAAAAATTTCTTGATGAATGATTACTGCAAGCAATTTCCAGTAACATTGCAATTAATTTGGGAAATCTGCTGATCTATGTTATAAGTGCTTATTTATTATTGTAATCGGATTGTTTCGGTGTTTCAACATTCGTGATAAACTTGCCACTTGTTGCTGTTTTCTTTTTTTTTTTTTTTTTTATTTAACAGGTGTGGAGATTATGGACAACAACAAAGCTGTGGAAGCGGTTAAAGAAGCCAACATGTCAGCAGAAACTGAAAAGGTGAACATTTCATTTGGCTCTCATAGCGGAGAAGCACCGGTTGAAGGCGAACTGAATAAGCAGACCGAGCCTGATGTCCCAAAGGATGTGGTTGATGACTGGCCCGAGCCAAATCTCCCAAAGGATGCAGTTGATGAGTGGCCCGCGCCCTCTCAAATACACTCTTTTTACATTGTGAAATACCGAGCATTGGAAGACCAGAATCTGAGGGCTAAACTTGACATGGCAGAGAATGATCTGCAGAAAAAGAATCAGGCCCGTTTTCAGATTTTCGAAAAATTGAAGATTAAAAGGGTAAACTATGGTTACTTTCTTTTTTAGGCAATGTCTAGTATGCACTCCTAGCTCATGCAACTACCAATGCATGGTGCTGAATGACATGAATGCATTTCGGGACTTTTTTTTTATCTTAGGTTGATCTAAGATTGGTTAAATGGGAATGGGCATAAAAAACAATATCCTCTAGAAATTTGACCGCGATAGAATTGTTTGAGTATAAGTTTGAGTAAGGTCTCGTTTATAAAGTATAATGTGAAATTCATGTAAAAGAATTTTCAAACTGCAGTTTCTAGAACACAATCCAAGTTTTTTGCATTTATGTAGGTTCCCACGTAAGCTGTCAAAACAGCTGATTTTGGTCCAGTCACGTTCTTGTTGTAATTTAATTGTCTACCATACAATTTGGATCATGGAAAACTGGATAATATTAATGTGGTCATGTTTTGCAGGCTGAACGGGCTCAGATAAGAACTGAAATACATTCTTTAAGCGTCGAGAATAAACAGTTTAGGACAGCTATGGACGAAAAGAGAAAAGAAATGGAACCTCTGCAGCAGGCTCTTGGCAAGATGAGAGGTCCTTCTGGAGAGAAGGGTTCGGTTCAGTTATGTTCATCTGAGGCTGAACTCAACCGCCTCGTAAGTTTCAGTCGAAATACATTCCGTTTGAGTTACCACATTGTAATTTCAGAAGCTAATACTTGTGTTTTTGGTAACCGAAATTAATTAGATCAAAAGTTACGAATACCGCATTCAGCATGAAAGCATTCCCCTTAGTGAAGAAAAACAGATCCTCAGGGAAATCAAACAACTCGAAGCGACTAGGGATAAGGTTATCGCAAATGCTGCTGAGGTGGCTCGGCTTCAAGATTCCTTGGGTGAAAAGAGTTCGATTCAAGACCAGGTCAAGGTAAGAAGCTAGTCATGAAAAAAACTTCCTCTTTCTGGTGTTGCCATGTGACGTTGTATTTAATATTTATAACTGTGCGATCTCAGTCGATAGGAGTTGATCTTGATGGTGCTCGAAAGGAGAAACAAGTGATCTTTGCCAAGATTAAGCAACTAGATGAAGCAAAAGTGGCAATAGAGAAAGATATAGATGCTCTAGAAGAAGAATTGACAGCAATCACCGAAAAGAGGGACAAGATATTCGATAATATCAATGGAATGAGGAAACAACGAGAGGAAGGGGTATGATGATTCTGTCTATAATTACAACAATATTTAGTAAATTTGGGTTGTTTCACTTGCTCCATTCTATCATTTATTGCAATCTTTGCACTTTCATGGTGACTTTCAGAATGCGCCCTTCTACCAAAACCGTACAGTCTTGACACAAGCGAAAGTACTTGCCGCAAAAAAAGATGTGGAAGCTGTAAAGGAGCTTGCAGCTTCAGAGGTTTGGTGGATAATTTGCTATATTTTAAGATTAAGTTACTGTGATTATTCAAGACGGTTTATCAAACTTTTTTTTTCTCCCTGTGCTAGGTCGAGAAATTCATGTCGCTCTGGAATAGTAATAAGGCCGTTAGGGATGACTACGTGAGTAGAATCTTGCAATCACTTGACATGAGGCAGTTGAGTAAAGATGGTCGAATGAGGAATATAGACGAGAAGCCATTGTTGCAAGTTGAGAAATCTGTTCCATCCGCAACTGCGGTGGTTAAACCGATCCCAAAACAAACCCCCAAGGAAGATTCCATTCCCACCGCTGAAGGTGGTGTTTCTTCCGACCAGAAAGCTGCGAAACCAAAGAGTGTTAAAAACGAAGGAAACGGCAAAACAGATAACTTGGAGAAAGTTGACGAGGAGGCTTTTTTTGTCGAGAAACTGCCAAAGGTAAAGAAAGATGAAGTTGATGAGAAGAAGTTGAAAGAGCTGAAGAGACAAGAAGAGATAGCTAAGCGTAATCAAGCAGAGGAGAGGAAGAAGAAAATGGCTGAGAAAGCAGCTGCTAAAGCAGCAATTAAAGCTCAGAAAGAAGCTGAAAAGAAGATCAAGGAAATTATTTATTTATTTATTTACTCATATTTTTTTGTATTCTCGATTATGTTTAAAGTGAAAGTTGTCTTGGCTCTCGATTTATACAGGAGCGTGAGAAGAAAGCTAGGAAGAAGAGTGGAGCAGCTGCGGAATCTGAAGAACCAACTGAGAGTGTTACAGAAGTTGCTGAGCTGGAAAATGTGGAGGAAAAAATCGAAACTCCGGTCCCACAAAAGAATAAGGATCGTAAAGAACAAACGGTGAAGCAAAGAGTACGATCTAGAGGTTTGGATTCACTCCCTAAAGCTATACTTAAACGAAAGAAGGCAACGAACTACTGGTTGTGGGCTGGGTCTTCTGCCTTTGCCATTTTCGTGCTTGTTGTTGTTGGCTATAGCTATTTATCTTAGTCGAGGCAAATCCGCTTTGTGTTGAATCGAAGAACTAAAACTCTTTTTGATGATGATGAGAAACTTTTTTATATTAGCAAGAACCATTTTTTTTTTTTTAATTTAATTGTTTTTTTTTTTGCCTCCTCTGTTTTCTGCTTCGAGCAACTGCTCGAGTTAAAGCATCGAAACTGTTGGTAGAATACTTTGGCTTGATATATTTTCAATTTTGACTCTGAATATTTTCTGCACCCTCGACTCTATGTATTCGATGTTTGAATGATGTCGAAGTCGAGTTTATGTGTATTTATTTATATTTATAATTGTATTCGGCACCACTGTGTTATATGAATTGCTAAAAAGTTATAAATATTGACATAGTCTGCTTTGGTTTTAATCTTTTGTAAGGAATTAATTGAAGTATATAGGTGTCTTTTGAAATTAACTGAATATTTATTGTTTTACTTGTATTTTCAAAATAAAATTGTATCATAATTTTCAAATTGTAACAACATTTTGTAGGTTTATACATCCGAAATCATAGTAATTTATGGCTGATTTCATATAGTTTGAAAATTGAATCTTTCAACAAAAAAAATAAATAAATAAATAAAAAGTTACTGAATTATACTATTTAGAGCCTGTTTGACCAAATTTATTATAAACAAATGATAAGTTGTGGAAGAGTTGATAAATTCTGATCTTATTTTTAAATTATTTTTTTAAGTATTTGAATAATGAATTTATAAGTTATTTACTTTATTTTAAGATCTTAAATGAAAATGGGGGCATATGCATTATTTTTTTAATTACTAGACAACAACTTATTTTTAAAATTTTTGACATCTTTTAAAATTTTTTTATCAAACATTTTAAAAGAATTTATAAGCTCGTAAACGTCTCAGAATCTCATGTGTTGTTTTTAACAAATTATAAACTTAGCCAAGAACCAAATAAGACATTTGAATATGGTAGGCCAATCTATTAGATCAGGTCAATAATTAAATCAAACGACTCGATATCCAATTCAAGAATTTTTTTATTAAAAGATTGTTTCAGCTCGTTTTTTTTTTTTTGAAAATAATGAACCAAACTTGGATATTTTCGTTCGATAAACTATGAAGCTCGATTATAAATGAATGATAAAATAATGTAAAAATGAAGCAAGTGAAAGTGTGAAACTTGTAAAACTAAATACTATGTAAAATTAAATAAAATCAATTTATTGGCTCGATTAAAGATTACTCGAACCCAACTTGAATAACCGACCCGGATTCAATTGGGGTAGGGCGAGAGAGGATGTGGATACTCCGCATATCGGCCATGGCTGCCACTGGTTTCTGCTCGCAAGCTTTTGCGAGAAGGTCCGTTCTTCAATTTGAATCGCTTCGTTCAATTCATCTCAGAACAAACCCTAGTAATTTCAGAATCTTCCCCCTCGCCGCTCCGTTCACCTCCTCAGGTCCGTTTGTAATTTCTTCTACTGTGTGTGTCTGTGTGTTTGTATGTTTTTTTTTTCCCTTTGTGGATGGCAATATATTGCGCTTAATAAGAACAATTTCGACATTTTTGTTGTTCGGATTTTTTTTTTTTTTTTAATTATAGTTTGACGGAAGAAATGATCAAATTTCTGGGAATTTTTGAAGAGACTGAATTTTGAGATAATCATTTTTACTAGGGTTTCACGATTATGCGATTTACGGATTTGTAGTGATTGTAGTTGCGGCAAGTGCTATGTTTCGATTTCGTATATTGCGGTAGTTACTCGAAGGATCGACCTTAATCGAGAACGGAATGTATGTTGAGCTAATGAAATTGCAGCCATATGTTAAAGGTGGCCTTATATTGGTAACCATATAATTAAAAATTTGAAAGATATTGTTGATATTTGATACTAAGTTAGAAGAGCTATTATGAACAGGTTTCGTTTAACCATCTTGAATTTTGATTTTTTTTAATTATTTATTTATAGTTTGACTGAAGAAATGAGCAAATTTTTGAAGAGACTGAATTTTGAAATAATCATTTTTATTGGGTTTCGCGATTATGCAATTTACGGATAGTGCGTTTTCGTTTATCGTGGTTACAATGTAGTTACTCGAAGGATAGACGTTAATCGAGTACGGAATGTATGTTGAGCTAATGAAATTGCAGCCATATGATAAAGGTGGCCTTATATTGGTAATCATATAATAAAGAAATCAAAAAATTATTGATATCCGATACTAAGTTAGAAGAGCCATTACGAACAGGTTTCAGTTTAACCATGTTGATTTGGTGCTTAATTTTATTACAATTTACGGTTGATAACTTGGTACAGTTATTGATGCTCTTGCAACACAGCTTCGGGGGTATGCCATTCTCCCACGCAGGCTGTGAAGGGCGAAACCGACATTGTTCTCAAAGGTGCGAGAGACAAGGACACAGTCGAAGATGTCAAGCGAGTTCTTGAAATGGTATACATCATACATACATACATACATTACTCTTGCCTAGTCAAAGATAATTTCCTTTCGTCTTTTCTAATCGTTAGATTGTTGTGAAACTATTTTTCTGTTGTGCGTATATTATTAGGCGAATCGGGCATCATTGAGGCGAGAAGTTCTACACACTGATTTTCTCACTCCGCCCGTGTTAAAAGAATCGATGCTAGCATTAGAGAAGTTTTCCGACATCAAAGTTGTTTCTCAGGGAGGATATCCGGAGGTTAAAGATTCAACTTTTTTTTTGTTCGTTTTCCTTTTGTTTTTTGAGATTCTGTGACATTATAAATTATCTTAAAAATTTATTGCATTTACGTATAAATAATTCAAGGCTGAACGTTGTCGGCTCTCCGTTGGACATCCGGAAGTACTGACATCTGATCCGGACATTGTTGCAGCATTAAGGTGAGTTAGACTCAGTTCATACGCCTATGTGTTTTTCGGCAAAAATATGCATGAATTTTATTTCCGATTTTGAAGCTGTTTCATTCGGCAGTATTTCGGGGAATTTCGGGTTTGAACCTTATTCGCATGGCGACTTTCTTGGGGCAATTCTCGGAACTGGGATTGTTAGGGATAAGCTCGGAGACATTATTATATTGGAGGTATAAATTTGAACCCGCTATCAGTATCGCAAATTCGGTTTCGTTTCCACCACTAATATTTTAACCTGGTAAACGAAACCTCTTATTTTACCAAACAGGTTAATGCATAGGTAAGACTCGGAATAAGTTTCGTTTTTACAAATTGGTGTTGCCTCTTATATATACGACTTTGTTTCTTATCATGCTATCATTTCGAAATACCCGACTGTTTTAAAGTTCAAACATTAACCGTTAGATGAATTACTCCGAACATTTGTCTTTATTTCGGTTATGTAGGGAGAAAAGGGAGCTCATATTCTTGTTGTTCCAGAACTTGTCGACTTCCTTGCATCATCATTGGACAAGGTAGGCAGTCTTATATACAAAACTACGCATTTGCAAACCATCCGGGACACGCTTAATACTAATTAAATATTTATATCGTTTTTTTTTTTTTGTTTTTTTTTTAGAATCCAAAAGTTATTACATTTTTAGATGATGATCATGAAATTAGCTTCAACATGTCCCACAACATATGCATTTTAATTCGAAATAATACTTAAACCCGATGCAAAAATTCAAGGAACCGGTCTCGATAAATAAGCAAAATGATTTTCTCTTGTCCGTTTCTCGACAATTTTGCAGGTTAGGAATGTTTCTGTCACCTGTCAAAAAATACCATTGCTTGCTCTCGAATACCAGCCCCCGAGGTTATTACTACATATTTGATATTTTATTTAATTTTTTTTTTCTTGCATCATTAACAGAGACGTCGTTTTCACTTATCCTCATAGGACCAAGTCTTTCAAAGCTGTCGAAGCATCACTAAGACTCGATTCCGTAGGTAGTGCCGGTTTCAAAATTTCACGATCCAAAATGGCTAATCTGATCAGGTATGTTATGTATGCCCATTCTACCCTTCCCTTCCCTTTTTTAATTTTGCGAATTTTATCGAGTAATTGAACTGTGCTGTACGTATTATTTTGGTATATAGCGACGGAGATGTGCGTGTAAACTGGGCCTCGGTGACGAAAAGCAATACAACGGTAAGAACAGGAGACATCATCTCTGTTAGTGGTAAAGGAAGATTGAAGGTCAGTCATTTAATCTAATCTTTTAAATGCTACAGTATATATATAATATATGCCGATTTAATTTCTTGATTATCTTCTAATCTAATGATTTAAATTTATATCATATAAATAAATAAAATATGCATTTTATATTTTTGTCTTGTTGTAAGAAGATTCTGCTGTCTGTTCAGATTGGAGAAATAAACTCAACAAGGAAAGGAAAGTTTGCAGTGGAGCTAATAAAGTTTTTGTGATGTAAGAGATACCTTTTTTATTTTATTTTATTATTATGTTGTATTTATTTATTCATTTCTTTTAATTTTTATTTTGATGTATTGGATGATGGATAGCCGGTTTATTGCAGCACCGGTAAATTATACACTTTTGTTATATACAGTTAAACCTATATAAATTAATACCAATCGCGTGACTAATAAAATTCTATTAATTTAGTGAAATATTAAATTATCGAACTAATAATATAATATATTTTTATCAGAGTCGGGACAAAAAAAATATTATTTAAGCAAGGTTATTAACTTATTGAGGTTCTACTGTATCCCGTGCTTACGATCACATAAAGAAAAATTCCACATGTTCTTTTTTTTTTGGGACAAAGTAACCATCAATTATATATGTGCATTAGAAAATATTACTTATCTTACAAACCACATTAAAAGTATAAGTGTATGTATATAAATTGTTGATTTAATTTATCCAAAAAAATAAAATAAATATTACTATCAAGTATCAAGTATTAATTGTTGTATAGTTTGTTTTCTTGAAGTTAAACAATGAACCAAAATCAAGAACATTTTTTGTATTAACTTATTTTCAATTCTATTTTTATATTATTAAATGCTTATTAATATTTGATATAAAATTGTAATTTTACAAAAAAAAAAAAAAAAAAAAAAAATCAATTTTTTTCTAAAATTAAAATCGGATCGAAAATCGAATTTATATCGAATTCAGATAAATATTTTATTTTATTCCAAAAATAAAAATAAAAAATTCTTCAAAGCCCAAATCCATAAAATTATTAAGCCCATTGCCAATATTATCCAGAAAATCATCATCTTCTTCAACTTTTACTTCCACGGCAGAAAACCAAATTCCCTCCACCATTCCGCCGTCGGCGGCAACTGGAAAATGTCTCGAGGAACGGCGAAGCTGGTGGCGAGCATCAAGAAATTCGTTGACCTTCAGTACAAGTTCCTCTCTCGCCGCTATGGTCAGCAATTCATGGACATCCTCGATTTCCCCGTCAAAGTTGTCCTTACCCCCTTCACACTCCCCTTCGACATCGCCGGCTCCGCGCCACGTGGCTTCGGCGTGCCGGAATTCGTCTCCAAGCTCTCTTACTCCGCCATTTTCGTATGTTGCAATTGACTGTGATTTTTTCTAGTTGGATTTTTTTTTGAATGTTTAGGTTTTGGTTTTTCTCAATGCTTCAGTTATTGACGATAATTTGGAGAATTCGGTGCAATTATTCTGTACGGAAACCCTATGTACTTAATTTGGGGGAAAAAAAATTGAAGAAAAAATGGACTGATTAGTGAAGTAGGGGTACTTAGAATGGTAAGGTACAACCGAAAAATGCCAGGGTACTACTGTTTTTGTGGGAAGGGTTTATCATGCAATACGGCTTATCGTCTGATAAAGAATTCGCTCGTTTGATACTCAGAATTCGGTTGCGTTAAGATGTTTATGCGATTTCTTGCTCGATTCTACGTTCTTGTCTTGGGATAAAAAGAAGTTGTTCGTATTTCCTTTTGATTCATTAATCCATATTTGAATTCAGGCCATTGCTACTCTTGGGACCTACGATATCGCGTTCGAAATGGGAAAGAAGGTCCTGTGTCAGAGGTGATGTTACGACATCTTTTTATATGTTGAGAGTACTGAATGGAGTTTCGTTTTTCAAAGATTTTGATGGAAAACAATTACAATTATTTAACTATGCATCTGCAACTCTCGTCTCCATATTGCCGTAACAGCTAATTAAATAAGATGATTAAACTGAATGCCTCGTTATTTGCAAGCAGGAATTGTCGGACCTGCAGTGGGTGGCAGGCCATGCAGTGTACAATGTGCAGAGGCTCGGGAAAGGTGCAATACCAAGTGAAAAATTATGCCTTGAGAAGGTAGGCCGACACATATGCATTCTTATACATAAGGCCTCGTTTGGTTGGGGGGATTAGCCATTATTAACTAATAGTTAGATTTTGTCTGATGTTTGGTATCCTCAATAATTTGTTGGTCGACCCGCAAATATTATGTTATCATGGCTTATCTTACCTTTTACGCCTGTTTTTTATTGGATCTTCCAAGGTCCAATAATACGATTGGGTTTTATTAGGTTATTTAATCTTATCTTGGCAACCAAACGAGGCCCAAATGTATTAGCACGATAGTTTATTTATGTGTGTTATTGATACTTTTGTAGTGGAGAGAAGGCAACAGCTGCAAATATTGCAGATGCGATTTCCGAAAACCGAGCTGAGTTGGTTCATCTTCCTTCAAGTGTCGACCTTCATTTACCGTTGCCGTGTAAAGAATGTCCGAGCTGTGAAGGATCAGTAAGCATTGCATGACATTATATATATTGAAAACCTTAGAATCTTTTTGCTGTAGCTGTTGAGATTGTTGACAAATCTCTATAATCCTAAACATGACTTTTTTTATTAGTATCATTTGTCGGATTTTGAGGCACTGGGATAATTACTTCTCAAGTTTAGATTTTGCTGACGAATTCTTGTTTTTGCTACTTTAGGTTCTTTAACTACTTTTGCTACTATGTAACTTTCAAAAGTTATAACACATTTATTTTCGAGCTTTGATCATTTGTGAACCACTTATCTTGCATTTGCAGGGAGTGATGAAATGTCCAGAATGCAAAGGCAAGTTACCGATTAGGATATCTGCAGATGACGTAAGATCCCGTGCTTTTATATTCTCATTTAATGATTTATTATTTTGAGTTTTGTGGTGCTTTTTAGATATTATTATTCAGAAATTTTTGAATGTAAAGATTGTATAGAAGTTTGTGAAGAATTACGTGCTTAAGAAATATTCGATGGATAGTGTCTAGCATCACCATGCTTGTGTTTATTGAAGTACGATCACAGTTGCATTGTGATAATCTAGTTGGATGCTTAAGCTTATTCGGTTATTTGTCGTGCATCCTATTTTTATTAATATTTCCGATTTCCTCAGATAATGGAACCTCCGTGGAAAGCATATAATATCTTACGTAAGATGGACTATCCTTACGAGGTTAGTGCTATTTTAATTCTGTCACTTCCATACTAAATAAGTACAGATCATAAAATAGAAACTTGTTATGTAAGAAATTTGAAATTAGTCCGTGCGGTAAAGATGCTTTCAAATGCTCACGCAAACTGACGTTTCCTATCTTGATCTCGTGCTAAGATTGATAATATAACCATATTGAATACATAAGTTTGCTTGGATCAGTATCAACGGCAGTGGTACTTATATGAGTCTATTTATGCAGCATGTAATTCACAGCATGAAAGACCCGAGCATTGCTGCATTTTGGCTGATAACATTGCCTCAGATTGTTGGAGGTGTTGACTTTGATGATGAAATCAAGCAGAAAATTTGGTGGGAATACAAGGTCCACTTTCCCATTTTTTAATTTTGTTATTGGACAAAAAATGGTTGACCTGTCAAATGAAGCAAGCAATTGAACACATCCATCGACGAACCATCCGCATTGCTTCTTTTGGTGATTTTATATGTTTTTTTCTTTCTGATTTGCAAATTTATGTTATCGTTGTTTAGGAATCTAGACGGTACGACCAGCTCCGTGATGAAGTTGCCAAACGAAAACCTGGCTGGGAGTATTTGCAAGAGGTAGTATAAATTTAAAACGAAAAAAAAAAAGCTTTTGAATTTTTTTCCCGCTTTTATTCACTGCTAAAAGTATTCGACTTTGACAGGCTTTAATCTCTATCGATCCCAATCGTGCTAAGGAGGATCCTGTGATTGTGAAAAATGTTCCGTTCTTCAAGGCCAAGAAAGCTCTAGAGTCGGAAGTATTGAAGCTTAATCCTCCCCCACGCCCTCAAAATTGGGGGGTATGTTTATTTTTCTACGATACACGAAAAAAAAAAATAAAGAAAGAAATGATACACATACGGATTAATGTAAGAAATTTTGCAGGATTTGGACCTTCCACTAAATGCATCTTCTTGGACCGAAGAAGACCTTAAAGATCCAAAGAAGCTGTACGAGATGACGATTCTTCTTAATGCACAAAGAGAAATTGCTGATCAAATATTGGATGCACAGTGGGAAACAAGGTGGCGTGAAGAGAAGGTTTGTGAATTTATTTATTTATTTATTTTATTTTATCGATTTTGATGGTTTCTTGAAAAGTTCATTTAAAGGGTGATGATTGTGCTCGTAACTCGATTTTTCAGATGAACGAGATGCTGAAAGAGAAAGTAGAGCCGTACTTGAAGAACGTTGACAACAGCGTCCTTCCTCAGCCAATAGTGTTGCCATCTCAGAGGAATCAAGACCAAAAGGTTTGTTGGCCTTCCTTTCTTGTTTTGCAGCTATCAATTTGATTGGAATTAGCATTTTTGGAAAATAGTTATTCCAAAGTCGAAATTTTTGGAATTGAAATCGACGGAATACGGAATTAAAGAATTCCACTCCCTAATCGATAATATATATATATATATATATATATATATATATATATATATATATATATATATATATATATATTATCTATATCTTAAATTTAATATAAAATTGAAATTTCGGAAATAAAAATCAAATCGTAAGTCGAAATTCATACATTATTATGATACCGATCCTAAAATATCAGGAAAAAAAACTACAAATTGGGATTTTGGAATTTTTAATCACAAAAAAATGTTCCAAAATCAGAAAGTTTCTGAATAGAATCGGAAATTTCGTTCATATTTCCACTCTTAATTGAGTATAGGGAAGGAACAAAGTCGCGCGCGCACACACACACACACACAATCTTCATTGATCGTTGTCTTATTTGTCTGCAGAAAAATCAGGGCAGGCGACGATGGTGGCTGTTTTGAGGGTTACCGTCTGCAACCCGTATACAATTTTCCCCGTCGCGTCGCGGAATATTTAGATATATTAGTAGCAGATTTTGAATTTCTTTGGAGTACAATTTAAGATGTGGTTGGCTATATATTTTTGCTACTGCTGTGCCAAATATATATCCTAAAAGTTTGTATGTTGTGTTTAATTATCCCCTGGAAAAAAAATGATCATAATCATTGACACTATGGTGTTTTATTTATTTATTTATTATTTTATATAATTTCATTTTTTCCCCAAATTGATGAGAAAATTAAATTTAGCAGCGAGGATTTTTTGAAATTTGCATTTTTTTAATGATATTAACAAATCCTATTAATAAAACTAGTATTTTTCAAAAGATAATTAACGTGATAACATTTTAAGAGTAAAAATTAGAGAATTAATTAAAAAAACATTAAAAAAATACAATTACAAAGACGAGGATAAATAAAATAAATAGATAAGATGGGGTTTGAATATAAAAAAACGATAAAAAGAAATTCAAATAATATTACAAAATCACCATTAGTGTGTGTCCTAAGGTTGCCCTGGCGTTTGAATAATTAATTAGAGAAAATGCTGAAAAAGAGTAGATAATGGTCCAAAAATTGGAGATAATTTTTAAAAAAAAAAATTAATCAACTATGACATAAAATATTACCAAAATGCCCTTAGGTTTCCTAAGTTCACTAACGTTTATTACTTTTATATATAAGATAAGCTCGAAATCAAGATTGTGTTTACTAACAGCCGGATAAAAAAATTGTCCAACATCAATAACACAAGATTTTTCTTACACGTTTAACTTCCAGTTCTAAAAAAAATAGATATAAAGGAAATTATTAAAATTAAATAATTAATATTAATATACTAATATATATATATATATATATATATATATATATATATATATATATATATATATATATATATATATTATGATGAGCCTATATTTTGACTTATCAACTCGATATACAATTAAAAGAATTAAATAAATACATATTATTTATTTACCTTTTTGGTTTAATTCAGTATTTAAAAAATATAAAATAAAGATTGAACTTTTTTTAAATATATATATATATATATATTTTTTTTGAAATTAGCGGTTATTTCGCGCGCAGTGGGTGGCTCTGGTGCACCCGCGGCGGAAAGGGTTGGCCTTCTGGAGGCTGTTGCAGTTGTAGTACGACTGCCCTCTCCGGATGCACGGCACGATGTTCCGCCTCATCGCGCC